GTGTGTGTGTGTGTGTGTGTGTGTGTGTGTGTGTGTGTGTGTGTGTGTTACTGAATGTTTATGCAGAGCCTCATCTACGCTTAGTTCATGCTCTACCAATGAGCTACATCCCAGGCCCACCCCAAGGTAGTTTACAAACCTCTACATGTAGCACCTATCATCACTATAGCTGACAGAGCCCCCAGCAGCATGAGAGAAGCATTCTGACACGTTGGACGATGCATGCTGATGAGCTGGGACTGTTGGGTTGCAAGAAATGGGAAGACCTTTGAGCTGGTTCCATGACAAGAGGAGCTAGGAGAGGGAATCTCACCGACCTGGTACTGTGAGCAGCTTCCGACAGCTACTGTAACAAAGCACCGTGCACAGCATGGCTGAAGCAACAGGAAGGTTCTGCTTCACAGTGCTGGGAGCTAGAAGTGGAGACCAAGGGGAGGATGGGATGAATTCCTCTGATGCCTCTCTTCATGGCTTGGAGAAAGAGCATCCTTTTCCTATGTCCTTGTGGGATTCTCTGTGTGTAAGACCTCCCTCGTGTCCTGGGGTTTTCCTCTTTTCAGTCTTCCTTTTCTTTCCTGCCTTTGTTGCTCCCCCACTCCCAGCTTCTTTCCCAATCTTCTCTCCTCAACAGGGTCTCACTATGTAGCCCAGGCTAGCTTCAAACTTATAACCCACCTTTCCTCTCCTCCCAAGCACTGGGATTGCAGGTGAGTGCCAACATACTTGGACATCTCCTCTTCTAATAAGACCTTAGTCATATCAACCACCCACCCTACTGACCCCATTAACTCCATCACCTCTTTAAGACTTGGCCTCTGAATATGGAGACACCCTGAGGCCCTGGGGACTAGGGCTTCGGTATATGAATGTGTGAGGGGGGCAGGCCAGCCCACAGCAGCCTCACAGTGTCTCACTGGTTCCATTATCAGGGTGACCAAACAGGCCTTAAAAGGATGGGTGCCAGTGTGGCATTAGTGTCCTTTCTCGAGTGAGACCCAGATCACACCATTCCTACAAATGAGGAAGTGAGAAAATAAAGTCAGCAGGAATCAGAGGGGCTTAGAAGAGGATGCTGGGAACTAGGGCAGTCTCCGTCAAAGGGCCATAGCTCATCTCCTGCTAATCACTCCTTCTAGGATCCCAGGCCCACTGTGGTCAGATCATCTAGTTTTCTGGGAGGAATAAATATCTCTGGGATATTGGTAAAGTTCCAACTTTTTTAGAGAGCTGCTCACACCAGATGAATTCTGTCAGCCAGACCTACCTGGTTCATAGATTATGCTTGGGAACTATAGGAAAGGAGACTCCTACCTTCACCCTCCTATGGTGGGATCCACACAGTGGGTTTATAAAATTCTTGGCCACAGCAAGATTCATACAGTCAGGAGGCAGAAAGGTGGGTTGATTTTTACCATTCCATGCACACATACCCCAGAGGAGAAAGGCCAGTATCTCTAAGATTTGCAAATTTATATGGTATCGTCATAAGGCTGGGGAGGGTGACATGGGGCCCTTAGAGAGAATGGCTGGATGTGGGCACATATTAGGGTATGGCAAGCTTTGTCTGGGGGTGGTACCACCTTGTACTCCACTCTCTCTGGAGCCAGTGGCTAGAAATGAATCCTGAGAACAGTGGGATATAAACTTTCACCCTGCCTTCATCTCCACCTCCCCAACTTCTCCTGTGGAATAGGGGGAGAGAGGATAGAGCCTCAGACCTAATTGAGAACCTCCCAGTTTGGCAGCCTCTCCCCTGATTGGTCCTTACCTTTCACCTATTTTGCATATGCACATCAGCCAACCAGAGCCCCCTGAGCCTATAAACCCCCTGAAGTCAGCCTTCCCTGGCACCTGAGAGTTTCCTCTTCCATTCAATAAATCATCCTTCTTTGCTCTCTGTGTACCTGGTCGAAACAAAAGAGAAACCACAACACCCTGACAAGCACCCATCTTTCCCAGCTGGCAAGGAAAAGATTTAGAATGTGTGAATTCCTTTTTATCAGGGCTGATTTTAATGAGATTGGTTTGGAGAGCGCTGGCTGTGATTTGGCACCTTGCTCAAAATAATCATTGCACCAAAGAAGCATGTGTTGAGGGTGGCCTTGCCTGAACCCCTGAGCTCTGCAGCCAAGTCTCTCTGCTTCCTCCTCTACTCAGAGGGGTGGCTTCCCATTGGCCAGATGGAGGGAGGGAGGGAGGGAGACTGAGTCAGCAAACTGTGCCCTGCAGGCTGAGCCACAGAGAGGAGCATCCTTGGAAGAGGGCCTGACAGAAACTGCGGACTCCCCGGGAGGGGTCAAGATAAAGCCATTTATGACTCTTGAGTGTCAGTGGGGCTTGTCTGTGGGAGGCAACTTGGGACGGGTCTGGAAAAGCAAGAGCAAGAAGAGAGAGGGACTAAGCTGGAACCCAAGGGATTGAAATCAGACATTTGGGGGAAATTTCCACAGGGGCCGTGATGCTCTGAGAATCTGCAAGGCAGCAGCAGATTCACTCCTATTGGATCACAGCATACCTGTCAGGGTGGGTCTCTGGGACTACCTTGTCAGCCAGCCAGCCTGCCTCCCACTCTCCTTTCTTGGGTTCCCAGGCACACTGCACTTGCCTGAGTGT